GGGCACCACCAGCGGCGTTGACAGTCTGTTTGGCATAGGAAGCCGTTTGCTGGCCGGCTCGCTTGACTCCGTCGACGGTCGAGTCCTTGACCGAATTGGCGGAGTTGGAGACCATGTTCACCGATAGCTGAGCAGTATCCTTCGCAGCGCCTGCGGCGTTGTTGAGGGCACCACCAGCGGCGTTGACAGTCTGTTTGGCATAGGAAGCCGTTTGCTGGCCGGCCCGTTTCACTCCGTCCGCCGCGTCAGCCACGGTATCCGCGACTGCGCCTCCTGCCCGACTGGCTGTGTTCTGTGCAGCCCGGGCCACCCCGAAGGAAGTGTCCTGTACCGTCTGGATCGAGCGGGCGGCCGCGTTGCCCGTTCTCCGAGCAGCATCGGAAGCCACGGCGACCGTGTCTTTGGCGCCTTGGGCGACCGTGTCCTTTGCCCGCACGGCGCCAGCGTTGGTGCGCTGCGCGGCTGACTGGGCCTGCGACTGCACCCCGTACACCGTCTGCTTCACCGCCTCTTTCGCCTTGTGCCACAGAGACGTTTCGGCCGAGCCAATGACGCCCAGCACTATTAACCCTGTCAGTAGCCTCATGCTGCGAGCATGCAACAATCCAGGTGCACGACCCCTAGGTCGCGCAACCTCGCGATCTAACCAGGCAGTCGCTCGCAGCCACTATCCGACTGTAGCCACCGGTGGCCCCGATATGGTGGACACAGTCTACCAGCTCAACCTATCCGCTCGACCTACTTGGTCGACCTATTTGGTGGAAGCTTCGGGCGTCTTTTCCTTCAGTTGACTCTCCAACACCTCCAAATCGTCAAACGTGTCCGCGAGAAGCTGCGCAATGGTCGACCTCGGAACCATCCCTGGCCTAAGTGCCTCCGTCCCCACACCAAGCATCCATGCGTTCGAGTCCAGTCCAAGGTAAGCACCCGCCTTGTCACGACCCAGTGGGTCGACGGTCTGCTCTCGCGGACCCATACTCAGGAGTTCCTTCTCTCCCTTCACAACTAGCCCGGTCGCAGCTAACCCAGTGGCTGGTCCGTTGGAACCGTGGGTCGTCTTGGTTACGACGTGTACGTCAAATGGGTCCAGTTTCGCTGAAGTGAGCATGGCCGCAATATTGGATTCCCACCGGGGGGCCTCAAGGGTGGTGCAAAGGGCGCCGAAGGCGACTTCGCCAAACACAATGCATTGGAGCGGGTAGGTGAGACTTAGGCTGCGGCTGAATTGGACGGTGGCACACCGCGGCTCATCCGCTAGTTGCACGCCATGGAGTACACTCCAATACCGGGCCAAGTCTTGCCACTTTGCAAACTTCTGGTGGTCCTCCAAGCTGGTCGAGGTGCAGGAAACAGTGCCGGTAGACATCCGCGGCAAGCAGGTCACTCGATCGCCAACCGTCAAACCGGCGTCGGTGTTCTGCAGAGCAGTCTGCACAGCAGTCTGGGTAGTCGTTGTCTTGGACCGGGCCTTGACGTGGTGGATCTCCACGCCAACCCTTAAACGGGCAGCGTTCAAGCTGGCAGCGTTCAGGCTGGCATCGTTCAGGCTGTGATCATCTCGGGTTGTGGTTACCAAGAGAGGTTGCAGCCGGATTATTGGTATTTTCTTCTCTCGATCGACAAATGTGTTTCGTAGACCGAAAGATGTCAGACACCCGTCACCGAGGGGTACAAGTTGGTCGAACGAGAGAAGTAAAGAGCAGCTGTAAGTGAACTGTAGACCAACGGCCCACGCCTCGCGTGGTATGCAATGGCTGGCGATATTTCTGCCCGTCCAAATAGGTGTCATTTGAAAGAACTCATCCCCTTCAACCGTCGAGGAGTCCGACGATTTTTCTAAAACGAGAACAAGACCCCGACCCACACACGGAGCAACCAGCACCAACTTCGAAGCCTCGTTCTCTGAGGCCGGAGTCAAAGCATGTGTCTGAGGGTAATAAGTCGATAATGACATCAAGTCCTACCACTATAGTCCGGGCGGCTGCGTAGATTCCGGGGAACCGGTAACTAATCAGGTAACTCATCAGAAGCATCACATGCAGTACGACATTCATACGCTACTGTGTACATACAGCAGAATAAGGCACAAAGTATAGGGTACTACGACACAAAGAAGACAACAAAGTAAGATCATATAACAGGGATGAAATAGAACCCACTCGCTGAATACTTCATACACGGTCACGTCTACCGTCTCCTGCCGCAGTAGAGGATGACTCACTTCCACCTGCGTTCCAGAAGATCCCAAGTGGCTGCCTGGCATCATCATTTCTGACCGCCACCAAGCGACCATGGTTTTCAAGGTAGAGTCCGGTAATTCATGTTCCGCCATTTTTGATGAATCTGTTTTCGACTGACGGCGCTTACTCTGCCGCTTCGGGGCCTGAGAGCGCTTTTTAGACTTGGGTGCCGGGACGGTAGGTTTCCAAGCGGGTTTCTCGAACTGCAAAGTCTGGTCGTACTGGATCCCATCCTCCAATAACATCTCTGGGTATCAGCGTGTATGTCTCCACATATAAAGGCAGCTCACGGTGTAAAAAAGTTCCAGCCATGATTATGCGCACGCGTGTTTCTCGAAAACGCACGCGTTTCCGCGTGTTCGACGATGCCCTAATTTTTGCGCGTGACGGTGATTTAAAAATGCCAGATGCAGTTAACCCCAAAGCTTACCCCCTGGCCAGCCCAGACCTAGAGCCGAAGCTTTTGACGCTCGTCCAGTCTGCGGTGCGCATTGGGCAGCTCAAAAAGGGCGCAAATGAAGGTAAGCGAGTTTGGCGACGAAATTAGTTTATTCTTTTAGCCACCAAAGCCCTCAATAAAGGCAAAGCTGAAATTGTTGTCCTCGCGGCGGACGCTGAACCGATCGAGATCGTTCTTCACCTACCCCTGGTTTGCGAAGACAAAAACGTCCCCTGCGTCTTTGTACACTCCAAGGTAGCCCTCGGCCGCGCCTGCGGTGTCTCCCGACCCGTTGTGGCCTGCTCCATCATCTCCAGCGACCGCAGTCCCATTGATGGGGAGATTAACGCCGCCCGGATTGCAGTCGAACAACTGCCCCTCTAAATTTTTCATCAATGACCCCTACATCCTGCGCCCTGCCATTCAGCACACCAACCAGCAACTACGAGTCAAGAGCTCACGTAATGCCCATATTGCGTCAGGTCATTCTTCCATTGATTCCTCAACAATATATCCTCCATCAAACATGTGTTGGGTGTAGTGTTGGCCGTATCCGTTGAATAATCAGTACTGGTGAGCTCTTCAATGCAGATATTCTCATATACGTCCGACAGCATCTCGTGTACACGTGAAATTCCTTCTCATAAAGGCTTACTCAGTGAGCAATTTGGGAACGTATACCCAGTCTTGCAATAGCATGTAACTGTCCATGTGTCCTCTTGCACAGGACTAATTTCGCAACGAAGGTTTCCTGAACTGTCGACATCCGTGCCGTCGGGATCGCAGTACGCTTCAAGAAGATCCTTTTGGGTAAAAGAGTCAGATTCGTAAGTGGCGCAAGCATATGACGCCGCGTGTACGGCAGCGTGCAGCATGGTCAGAGATACAGCGAAACGCATCTAGCAGTTATTTCTCAAGGCAGAAGCTTTTCCTCGTGGCAGTTGAGCGCAGATACCGGATATTCAGTCCAAATTCTGCATCAACACACGTGTGTCCGCACTCAGCCAGTTGCTCTAAATTGCGGCGGAAAAAAAGAAGGACCGTACGATGGCCACCGTCCCCGCCCTGGTAGTCGCGGGCCCTTCAGGCGTCGGAAAAGGAACCTTGTTGAAGATGATTAGGGCCCGATATGGGGAATATTTGGAATTTACTATCTCCTGTACGACTCGAGCGCCTAGGGAGGGTGAGGTGGACGGAAAGGACTATTATTTCATAACCAAGGAAGAATTTGAGAAGAGGGTTCAAGACAACCAGTTTCTGGAACATGCGACGTTTGCAGGCAACCGATACGGTACAGGCCTATCTGAAATTGCGCGCGTCCAACGGATGGGGAACAAGATTTGCCTCATAGAGATTGAACTAAATGGCGTGCAGCAGTTGCAAAAGAACCCCAATGTTCTCGCCAAATATGTGTTCCTCTATCCTCCCTCCACGGAAGTAAGTCGGCAGTGCTCTCTTGTTGCTTGATTCCATCCCGGTTTTGGCATTCCGATTTACCCCTGACTGGCCCAAGACTTTCTCTTTCAGGCGTTGGCTGAGCGATTGCGGCTAAGAGGCACGGAGTCGGAGGAGACCATCCAGCGGCGCCTGGAGACCGGCCGGCAGGAGATTGAGATTATGGATCAACTGACCTGTAACCACAAGATAGTTAATGTGGAGCTTCAGGATGCATACAAGTCCCTCTGCGAGTACGTTGAGTCAGCCTTCGATTTTATCAAAATCGACTCTTAGGGGCTCGCGCAACAAGAAATGGTATAACGCAGGGTGACCAGCTTCAAGCGTTTTACTACACAATGACAAATCAGGACGGGGCATGACCACGGTAGGTGCCATTGCTTGGATCAATGTCGAAGTCGGCAGATAATTTGCCCCGGGTGTCTCGAGGTGCCAGGGCTAAGGGGGAAACGCTGTTCAGGGAACCCGTCAAGGGTGGCGGGCCGGTCATCAAAGGTGGGGTGGCAGACATTATGCATGACACATCCTCCACGTTGCCAAATTCCCACTGGAATAAGCTCAAAAAAATCACGCAGGAATCGGAACGTCGTATTCAGCCATGAAATCCGGTTGAACGTCCTCGAATACATTAGAGCACATATTGCGGGGACTGATGGCTTGGAGGAGTCTGCTCGAGCGCTGGCGTTCCATTTCGGGAGGCACTCGAACGAACTCTGGCTCACAACAGCGCAGACCCGTGGACCCGGGGACGACTTGTTTTTCTTCTAGCAGTCCCTCGTCTCGTAGGTCTTGGCCACGATGGACACTCGGCACGAGCGGCATGGTGGTCTGGAAGTCATCGTGTTTTGGCGACTGCAGACAAGGGCCCCCACACAAACCCTTGAGGGGCATCTCGCTGCGAATTTGCCTGTTCACTTCGTCGACAGCCAGAGCAACAGACGAGGAAATACTGCAGACCTCTCCCCTCTCCTCATCCGGCAGCTGGATGCCGACTCGGTTGTACGGCTCTTGCGTTCGGCTGTACTCTTCCGTCACTTGACGGTTTACTTGGTGGACCAATGGGTCGTCGTCGCATGAGTTCTCGTCTTCATTCTCTTGTGCAACGCTTCTCGCGCGCGGTTGTGCATCCGTGCTGGAGTACGTCACAATGCCGAACGGGGTCACGATGCGCGCGCCGTTTAGTTGTTCGCCCATTGCGGCATCGTGTCCGACGTTTGCGTACGTCGACGACCAGTCGTAATAGTGCGGGAAGCACTCCCGACATGCAGGAGCCATCGTACTATCAAAGCAGATTTCCTCAAGCGTTCGCGAAATGCTGCTGTCAAGCTGTGGGCGGATAAACTCTGGGCGGGTAGAACGGCTGGAGACTTGCTTGGACTTTTGCGCCCTAATCGCAAGGACGTTCCCGCGGCGCCCTTCATATAAGCCCTCGACGCTCATCTCTCTTGCGGTACGGCAGCCGGCGCAAAGGACGCGGTTTCCGTTGGCGAAACCAGGGGGGCACATTGGTTTCAAGGAGTCGTAGGGCGCATGATCCTCGTATTGCGCCGGGCGCTCAGCACGCTTGGACGAGGGCGAAGAAGACGTGGTCTCTTCGTCATCGAACCGAGCAGAAGGCCCCGCGCGCGGGCCCCGCCCGTCGTCTCCCCCGCGGGCCTGCGACAACTCCACTTCGAGTTGCTTGAGCTTCGCAATATCTTCAGGAGCGAAGGAGCGCTTCTCGTCCCCCCTGGGAGACGCAAGCCCCCGAGGCGAAGGCTCTGCGACCAGATGGATCGATGAAGTAGGTCTTCCAGAGGTCGCCCTGGGAGAACGCACCCCCTTCAACTTCATCGGCGGTAAGTAGATCTCGGTAAGACCCTGAGCGGTAATAGCGTTGGTGTTGCCAGTGCACATCCCCATATTCAGATTCATTCTAAAAAATTCTGCTATTTCAATAACCAAATGGGCCGGTTGTGTACGACCCTGCCGTCGGATATGTGCCGCCAGCAGTGGCCAAGGCCCCACTAGAGCCCAGGCTTGTCAACGGATTCCCTCCGTACCCTGCCGGGAATTGACTTTCCGTGCCCAACAATGGATATCCGTAGCCAAAAAACGGTCGATAGTAGTACGGGAATGTCACTCCCATCAAGTTCCCACAACCATACCGACAGTACATCTCTGACGGGAAGGCCCTAAAGTCGCCCTGAACCGGCGGGGGAATGTTGATGGCCACATCGGGTTCCGGGACGGGAGGAGGAGGGAGCTTCTTTTTCAGGTTCCGGTGCGGCGAGCTGAATAGTATATTCCCAACCAACTCTCCACTCCGATCGAAAAACTCAGCCTTCTCGTGCGAACTCAAAAGTCGTGCTCCGTTTTCAAAATGCATTTCAGCGGAACCAAAGTTATCACCAGTGATCTGCTTTACCCTCAACAAAACACCTTTGATCAAATCGGATGTATCGGGGTACTGATCGGTGGTCTCAATCGACTGAGGGTTGAGCCGCAAGTTCAAAACAAGAGATTCTTCTTTGGAGAGGGCTCCGAGTGCCAGAAGAATCGACCAAAGCGTCATTGGGTCCAAAAAATTCCCGAGCACACGTGTGCGCAATAAAATGCATTCAGGCAAACGACATATCGCTCGAAACGTTTTGGGGGCGGTATGGAAGGATAAGTTCACTGGCATTCAGGTACCTAAAAAGACCAATGACGGAGCGTCTTTGGCTGCGAGTACTGATTTTATTGCAAGTTGCTGGGAATCTGGCGGTGGTGGAACTGTTTGTGTAATTGGCGTCGATCAAATAGGTGAAAGAAGGCAGAAGCAGTGTTTTTTCCGTGGCCATACTGGCGCGATCCAAGATATTCAATTCTGCCCGTTCTACAGCGCGATTTTTGCGACAGCATCTGAAGACAGTACAGTAAAGTTATGGGACTGCGGAAGCATGTGGTCGTCGGAAGAGGAGCCGCGACAAGATCCCGTGGCAACCTTGAAGGTGAGAGAGAGGAATCCTGTTGACCTTTTCATTGGTAGGGTCATGACAAACGCGTCTGCTTTAGTGTCTTCAACCATGTGGCAGAGTGGGTACTGGCAACGGGCGCGATAGATTGCACAGCACGAGTCTGGGATTTGGAGGTTCAAGCACCAATTCTCACGCAGTCTTTTTCCAGCCATCCGGTTGGGATGCGCTGGGACGCGTCAGCGAGCCTGTTGGCGGTAGCAACCAAAGCCCGTGAGATTTGCATTTGGGATCCCCGGGGCCAAGCGTTCGTGACTGAACCAATTCAAGCGCATGAGGGTGCCAAGCCTGTGAGATTGGAGTGGTCCTCTGGCTCCAGAGGAATTGGGGACCATTATGTGATTTCTACGGGCTTCAGCAAGACGGCAGAACGCCAATTACGCCTATGGGACACGCGCCGAATGTCGACTCACGTTGCGGAAGCTGAGCTCGACCGTTCAGCTGCAATCCTTCAGCCTTACTTTGACCCAGGCACTGGGCTTCTTCTCCTTCACGGCAAAGTACTTTCGCACTCTTTGTTGTTGTTCTGATTAGTGCTTGTTCCGTACCACAACTTACTCTCTATTTATATGGTTGTAGGGTAACAGAAATATCCTCTTCTATGGATTGGAGTCGGACGACTTCATAAAATTTGGTGCGTTTGAATCGTTGGATTCTTGGAAGGACTTTGCGATTGCGCCCAAGCGAGGAGTGGACGTGATGAAGTGTGAGGTCTTGAGGGGATATGGATCGTTGGACGGTGGCTACATCCAGCCGGTATCTCTTTGCGTTCCGAGACGGAATATGTCAGAGTTCCAAGAAGAGTTGTTCCCTCCTTGTTTTGCTGGCGAGCCGGCTGTCACCACTGAGGAGTGGTTTGGTGGCCAGACCGCAGCCCCAATCCTGGCCTCCATGTCTCCAGTGAATGGCATTTCTCCGTTCGCCCCCAAGCGGCCTCGTGACGTGAGGCGTCTGGAGTTTTCGAGAGAGCGGACCGCCATACGGGAGACGTCCTCGGTGCTCAAGAAAGCACTCAGCGTCACAACCCAAAATCTCGGCTCCCGAGTGAAGGAGCTAGAGACGATCATTGAAGACCAATCCGAGGTCATCCAAGGGCAGTCGGAAACCATTCGAAAACAAGACAACAAGCTCTCTCGCCTCACCAAGGAACTGGCGACGACCAAAACACTACTCGAAGAGAAAGACCGGCTACTGGCCTCATCCAGGTCCGCGCCCACTGCAGCGGGGACCCCGACCGTAACCGGGTCCACTCCTTGTGGGGGAACCCCCCACGAGTCCACCCCCCTCGGGTCCCCC